GCCGTTTCCTTGTAATTAACTGTTGAAAAAAAATTGAAGCCGATTTTTATGGAACTTTTTTTTTGAGATACATATCATGGTCTTATAGAACTTACTGAAATATTGCAGCCTTACGACAAGTATTTTAATTTTAAAAATTTATCAAAGTTTGAGAAAATGATTAATTTTTTTTGACGTTTGTTAAAATTAAAATTAGACGATTTACTTGGTATAACGATAGAGTACTTGGTCTTAATGAACATAATAAACCATTAAAGTCCTATGGAAACTGGTTCAATTATAAAAATTATTGATTTTTGAAAATTTGCTTTTAGAAATTACTCCAAGTTAACGTGTTCGTTCGTTTTCAAATATGTGTAATAAATCCACTCGGAATACTTTTAATCACTCATAAATTATTTTTTATTGATCAAGTCGATTGTTTACACATATCGGGAAGTTCATGTAACTTGCCTCAAGGCAAAATACCAATACCAACTAGTTATATCAGTGATCTCTGTGCCATTTAATATACAGTAGAACTCGTTTATCCGGACGTCAGTTATACAGATTCGCGATTATCCGGATTACTAACCGCAACAAAATAAGTATGTACATACCTGCGAATCGAATTTTTGCATGATTAATGCTGCAGTTTAGTATTTATTTCTATGTAATGTAATTTAAGAAAATATATATGTACATACATAAGAAAGTAATAATTCCTTAATTAACATTGATTTCCGTTGATATCTATGTATGTATTTGTTAATTTTAAATAAATACACTTATTCTTTATACATTCGGTTATCCGGATTTTCGATTATCCGAATGCTCATCGGCAACAATTAGTCCGGTTAATATCGAGATTCTACTGTATTCATATATTAGGTTATGTATCATAGATCCATATAATGGCTCTTATTTATACACCTGAATAATATAAAAATAATTCCTTTGTACTGAATAAATCAAATAAATTAAAAGTGGACCGTGAGGGTGTAATTTAAATGTAAGATGGAGCTACTAAATAGGTAGACTCTAGCGAATGGTTTTCAAACGCATTTGAATATTTGCAAAATCAAAACTGTTTGATATATTTCAATAAAATCAAACCCATTTTTTTCTATATAACTATATACTCTGCTGGGATAAAAATTTACTCACAGTCATGATTTATTAACGTCAAATTTTATATGTCTAAATGAATTGAGTTTGTTTTTAATTGATCATCTTCAAACCGTCCGAAATCCCAAGATATATTTAAAAAATAATAATTGTTTTGGCCTTAATAATTTTAATGAAAAATGAATATTCTTGTTAGTATGCTATTTGTTTGTATAATCAACAGATTTGAAAGCATCAAATTATTTTGTTTATATTAACAGCTTTAATAAAAGTATTTTAGGACCTGCATATGCACATCAAATCATATTTTTAGCAATTAATTTAGCAACATCCAATTATAATTTACATACACATCTATTCTGAAAAGTACATTAAAAACTCATTCACTCAAATTTTCAAATGAAAGTTTTGAAGTTACCACATATTTCGAATTAAATTTTACATTTTCATTTAACTAATTTAATAACACTCAGAGAAAATTGGGACAAATAAGTATGTATATGGTGTGGATTACTAATATAAGAAAAAGCCCAAGTCAAATCTTGACCAGTACACACACACACATCCATTTTTTCTGAGGTATGCCAAAATGTTCAGAAACCTTCAAAATGTGGAGAAATGCAAAAATTTTCATTTTACATTTTCGGCCCATAACTATAACTACCCTATGGGAAATTAATAAAGCAGAAATAATAGCACGACGTATATATAACTTTTTTATTTATATTACAATGTATACAAAATATTCATTACAAATATGCAGGTATATAAACAGAACATACATAACTATATATTTTCTCTAATAATTTATTTATAACATATTCATAAATACAAGGAGACCGTTGTAAAATATTCTCTTCTTTATATCGTAAGTTAATTCAGGCAAAAATGCAAATAATACGGAACTTTTTATTGGATATAGGCTATTATAGTCTTATATTTTTCGTGTTTTAGGTTCAAATTTATAAAATGAATTAATTTTGTTCTGATAGCTTAGTATAACAATATATAATATACTCCAGCAAAACTAATAAAAATTCATTTTATTTAGATAAATGTTAATAAACATATAAAACTGAATCATTATTTGCATAGTAATTATAATTTTGCAATAATGCAAAACCTATAAGAAACCAAACTCGAATCCAAAATATCGCACGAGATGACTCTAATGCCAACAAAAGATCAAAACACTAAGATGTGTCTTTTTAATAATTATCCTATTAATAATTAATTTATATTGTTGATTTTATTTACACTAACTATTATATTAAACCTTGTATTTCAAATTTTTGTAAATAATTTCATATTCACATGATTCTGGTACAATTTAGTATAACAATAATAAGTTATATTATCTATATTAAAATAAATGCATGTAGCCTTAATGCTTTGGAGTTTCTATAAAAATATATTCAATAGTGTTTCTTACAATACAAATTGCTACATACTGACTTTTTTGATATCTTAATCTAAATATAATAGCAAATTTGAAAATTTCAGCTATTATAGAATACGAACATTTCATAGCCGTCAACAAATGTCTAAACATATAAGATGGAAAGTTAGACCTTACCAATAATTTTTACTTTTTATAGTGTAAGCGAAATTAACGGCTTTTGAAATCATTGTCCTTTTAAAATACACACATTTTCACCATATAAATAATATTATTCAATAAATTCAATAAGTACCTACTAAAAAGCATCAACCATTGTAACATCCATATAAAATTAATAAACTAATAATATTTTAGTAATATTTAAACACAACAACAATACACTTATGCAGGTAAAATATCTTCTATAAATAAAATTATTTTAAATCTTAGATCATATAATATGTTAACTATATTATTTGATCTTCATAAATAATTAATAACATTTCGAAGTGACAACGTATATATAGTGTATAGAAACTATGTACAATATTGAAACAGATTTCATCTGTTACAAAATATTTAAGTAAAAAATAACAGTACTTTCACCATTCAATTACAAAAAAATTCAATCTACACATTATTGTAAGTTCGCAACACATAAATTAGCAAAAAATACTGTATATTGATTATTTTCTAAATATTTGCTAGGCTTTTATAAATTAAAAGGCACATTTATGGATAAGTACTTGTTTTTTTATTGTGTCGAAGCTAGCACCATTTTAAATTAATCAATCTATTTCTATAATTTTTAATATTTCAATTTCATGATAGTAAATTCAAGAGCAGTGGAATTTTCCTTTTTCCTTAGAAGTCCTGAAGAACAATGACGATATTAAAGAATTTTTTCGAAAAAGGCGGATTGTTGTATCGTTTTATCATAATGTTGCAATTTTATAATATCATTTGGGAAAAATTTGTCGCAAAAATAAGTGAGCGATAAATGTGACAGGTTAAATTTTGTTATAATTACGGTGGTAGATACAGTTTTGGCTCAGGTTCAAAATGTTACTAATTTTATAGTCTTGGTCGGAAAATTTGAATGTCTTCAGGATCTTCTAAAGAATTTGTTGTAATATTAAATTAATTTTTGTTGTAATTTCATAGTCTAAAATCAGAATAATTAAATCATATTACTAGCTTCTTTACCATTAGATAAAATACAAAGACATTGTCTAGACGACTACACAACTTTAGCGTTTCGCAATTTTCTTGTCACACTTCGTATTATCAACAGCTGATTCATTTTGTATAATATTAATTATTTATTGAAAACAACATTATTGAATGATGGGTTCAGAAGGTATTGTCAAAATATTCGATTATTTACAATATTACTATGATATTTTATCCCCATCTCTCACGCTGTAATTGGTGCAAGTAAAGTATGGGTGGTGCACTCTGTCTTTTTCTCCAAAATTTATTATAGATCTAGTAAAATAATGCCGCCAAAATAAAACAAAATGATATAAAAGTATTACTTAAACCAACAAACACATTTTTGTGTTATAATAGCATATAGGGACCGATTCTGTCGCATAACAGACCAATGTTATGGCAAGGCTATGTTATGTAGAACTTTACATACAAAATCGTTCTAAATATTATAAAAAGTCATGTGGGGTGTGTAGTTAGGCGTTTTTCTCAGGTTATCAGATAGAAAACTTAACCAAGAAACCCACAAATGGCAAAACGATTTTAGATAACAGGGTCTTTCTGACCCAGCTTCATAACATGCAAGTGACGTTGCAGTTTATGTACTAGTTATTAAAATGCCGGAATGCACAGCAAATACATAACATTTTGACAGTATTCAGTATGATTCAGTAGCACAATGTATCGATGTTGGAGCGTAACATGGCCTTGCCATAACATTGATCTGCTATGCGGCAGAATCGGTTTCATAATATAAATAATACTGCGAAAGCTAAATGGCCACTAATGGACGAAAAACTCTTTCATGAACATTCGAAAATTTATCACAATATACGCCCTAACTCTAATTAGTGATAACGAACCCTTTGACGCGCGTAATTACTTACAGGTCAATACTTTATAAGCGTATTTTCAATATCTCATCCACCAAGTACATCATTTTCTAATATAACAAATGAAAATGACTCACAAATTTTAGAGTTCATATTTGGGTAGCTTAGTCGGGAACTAGATGACACGTAAATTAAGTTAAATTATTTGCTTGATACTTCCAATCACTTCACAATTACACTTACGCAAAAAATCACATACTAGTATGTGGCACTCACAATATTTGCATTTACATGTGCACATATATTTTGAACGGTGTAAAAATATTTAATATTGCATTGCACACAAAGGACCAGATGTATGTTTTCTTTTGTTGGCACGATTTCAAGTGTGGGCCTACCTCAGATACTTACCGATGTTCATATACGGATATGAAAATCGGTGTATGACACTATTTTCCAATTTTTTTCTACAGCTCTGTGGTGGTTTCGACAGGTGACCTGTCGTTCATGTAAGAATAAGCCATGTGCCCGTACTCTCGTTTTCCAAATGTTACATTGTCATTAGTGCTGCTCGCATTAGGAATGTGGTCGTCTCTGTAAAAGATGCATTATATATAGAAGCGTTTTTTTTTCAACATTTTAAGGAACATTAATCAGAGTTTAGTACTTTGATAAGTAGGAGTGATAATTCTGCTAGCTAATTTTTGAACTTATATTTTAGTCCAGTCATTATAGTAGTTCACCTTGGAATTGACACCTTAAAAGTTGTCTCAAAACCTACATATACCCTACCATATGTAGGTTTGGAGACAACTTTTAGGTGTCAATATACAAGTATTTACAGACTTACAGCTGGGTATCTCGAATTCCGAGATTCTTACCTAGTTTAAACTTAAATGACTTAAATGACTATTTTACATAATACAATCTAGTATTTTTTGGAAGTACTAATCGTGATCATATATTAACTCTTTGGAGCAATGTACGATTGAGTTATTTTTTCTTGGAAACATATGATCTATGTGAAAATGGAAACTGTTGCTAATTGATATCAGGTTTTTCGCAGCACGGAATTTTAAAAAGATATCCTGTATTTGCAAGGCTGTGGTTTCTATCACTGCGCCACGTCACGCATGTTCATTTTTTTTCTATTTCGTGAAGTTTTTGATTTTCAATTTCGAATTACAGATAATCGGATAAATAAAATTTTACTAATCTAGAAAAACATTTTTTTCTAAAATTGTACTCAAAAATTGAAGTAGTGGTGTCATGGTACTATAGTATAAGATCCGGCCATGTAATCAAGTCTCGGATTTAAATTCGCGTTTTGGACAACCTGACTTCAAGCAGTATGATATCCATTTATCGCTTGATCACTTGATCATTTGAAAATGCCTGACCTCCAATCATGCCAAGTATACATAACTTTTACAGGAGTTCTAAAAATCAGTACAATAGCTTATAGAAAAATGTTGTCTGATTGCTATTTATCAATTGTTGAAAAAATATTATAGTGATAGATGCATATCCAAAAGCTTTTGACTTAAGTTTTGATTTAATTTTTTTTAAAGATCGTTAAGATTGTTTTTAAGATTAATGAATAATTCAAACAGTTGACAAAAATCAGAATAATTAAGAAAACATATTACTAGTTTTTTTAACATTAGGTAAAAATGCAATGACATTCTCTAGATGACTACACAGCATCAGCGTTTTGCAATTTACTTCGCACACTTTGTATTATTTCTGATTCTCTATTAGCTGATTGATTTTGTATAATATCAAGCATTTATTGAAAGCAATATTATTGAATGATAGACTCAGAATGTATTGTCAAAGTATTTGATGATTAACGATATAACTATAATATTTTGTCTCCATCTCTCACGCTGCAATTTCTAAGTGTCGAAAGCTTTTCCCAATTCAATAAGTTCAATTATATTATCGCTATTGGAGAAAATTAGGCCTTGATACTATCACAAAACACCATCTACATTATAACGCGGTTTATAGTTGAAAAAAAACTGCTAGGATAAGGATAAATAATACGGCTAGTTCAGACTTTCAGAAATAGAAGTAGCACTGGCTACTTCTACTATTGTCCATTTATTTGTCATATGTTAGGGGGCGGCCATTAATCACGTGAGCGAGTTTTTAATGATTTTTGGACCCCCCCTCCCTCTTAGTGTATCATGGTTATATTCAAAATTAGCTCCCTCCTCCCCCAGCAATCATCACGTGTATTTGTTTGACTTCTTTAAAAAAAAATTAGGTGATGAATAAATACACGTGATATCTTACTATACCCCTCCCTCCCCCACGTGATATTTCGTGATTTTTTGTCAAACCCCCCCTCCTCCTGAAAACCTCACGTAATTAATGGACGCCCCCTAATATAATTATATTATCTTTAAATTTACTAGATGTCGACTGAAAACAGTTGTAAATTATATGGTGAAAAAAAGTTTAGCCTTGCAGAGAAACTCCCAAAGACAAGGTTATCGCGTTTGTTCTGTCCAAAGGCCTAATTTTATTAGGCCTAGATTATAGTAACATAATCTAGCATCAGTTTTTATATTTTACTATTCCAAACTCACCCTTGGTACATGGAATTCATTGTCGGCAAATCGTGTGAATTTTCGTAAGGCATATGATGGGTAGAGTTTCTTGCATTTTTATTCAACGTATTCATGTTATCCGCCAAGTGGTTCTTATTCCTATTTAGGGTGCTTCTGTTGATTGTATTCATGTGATGCTGTTGTTCCAATGCGAGATTATTGCGATTCAATGTGTTGATTTCTTGCTGAGTGGTGTTGTTGCGTTGAAACGTGTTTAGGCGGTTGCGTCCAAAGGTGTTCATGGTGTTCCGGTTGTCATCCATGACGCCAATTACACTTGAAGCGCGCGCCGTCGTTGCCGCTTCGGAGCTGGCTGGACTTTGTTGGCAAGCTGAGAATAAAAATTTAACTATAACTCTTAATGAAATACTACGCTTTTCTTCTAATGAGTAATTTGCAAATTAGGCTAAGCTAATTGTACAATCTTGCTCAACAAACAATGTTGCCGTAATCAGAGGAAAAGTAACCTTTCAAAAAAGTGCAGACTTCGGCTTGAGAAAAAGTTCGTTGTTTCTGGGGTCGGCCATACTCGTTAATCAAGGTTGTTAATTTGATAATATTGTATTAAAGTTATAATTATTTTAACGTACTCTTTTAATGTTTTGCAATTGAAAATATTCGAAAGAATCGAGTATTCATCGTCTTGATACTTTTTGTTGTTGTTTTAAGATAAATACTAGTATTGCCTGACATCTTCAAAAATGCGAGGACTGTTTAAGATTCAAAACCACTCAATATTCCAAACATCTAGTCTCCAGTACAACACTTTATTAGAGAAAATTATTTTAAACCAGTTATTTATACCAATAGCTGATTCATTTCACCAATTTTGCTTTCATAAAAGTTTTAATAATTCTTCATATAAGTTTACCGTTATCTTTAGTGATGTAGCTGACGTTGTCCAAACTGAAAGCATGATTCTTCGTAGTAAAGTCTATTTGCAAATTGCTGTAACTATCGTTGTCGTCCTGTGGAACAGTCATGTTCAATACTTGAGTTTCATATTCCTTTAGACTTGCATCCAACGTGTTGGTACCGCCAATTGCACTGCCTCCACCGCCACTGCCAACTTGGTCGTAGCGCGTAGGACTTGACGGCGCAGTATATTGGCGCTGCATTCGTTGCTTGAAATTCTTGTATCTGATTGAAAATTTAAATAGAATCAACAATGTATTCAAGTTTAACTAACATTAACTCTTTTATAAATTATATTTTTTGCTGAAGGAATGATTTTTAAAACTTATGAAAAATCTGTGTTAAGTAGCCATGATGGTATTACTTCATATACATTACACAAAACGAACAACATTAAATAAAATGTAATTTTTTATTTTATATATTCAGATTCAAAATCTAAAAGTACTCTATTCTGCACATTTCATAAGCAAATATATATTAAGCAAATCCAAATAGAAATATTATAGCTCACATTCCATATATTTGGTTATTTCAATAATAACACTTACTTGTTCCACGAAACGCATATATAAATTATACCAGCAACTCCCAGTACAAAAATAACGCAAGCCACAGTAATAAGGGCGTAGGGAAATAGTTGAGATCCAACGGCAATAGCAGTCACAACCCGCGGATTAGGAGACACTGGGTCGTGAATTTCTTTGGCCGTAGCCTGAGCAACGCCAGATACCAAAAACGTTAAATTAGATTGTGCTCGGGCCTCCAAGATTGACCTGAAAATGAATTATTCATCGTAGAGTGTAATTTTATACAAATCGTCAGCAAATAATGCAAAATGCAATCTAAAAAGGATCTATAGATCAAAACTTCGTACTCCCCACACATGAGGTTTTCAAGTATTTAATTTTTTACCTTTGAATTCTGCTAGAGTTTCTCTCCAAAATACGATCGGTGTGGGGATCGACAGCATAAAACCATACATCTGTAGCAGTTGGATCCGTTTCCAAAACTCCATCGACAATATGTTGTCGTGCTGCCAATTTTTCCACCGCCACCATTAGGCCTGATTGATCCCGCATTGCTGCGGCGATTAATGCTTCTTTTCCGCGCATGGCATCCGGCCTGGCATCAGCA